CCATGCTGGCATTACTACTATGTTCTGAGGCGCATGCAAAAGCCTTGGTAAAGTTCTTAAAAACCGCCCATGTACTTCAAGAGACATCTACCAATCAGTTTCAAGAATGCGTAGCCAACCTAACTGCAGATAATGGTTTAGGTTTTTCAGATCCTGAGCTGACACCAAGGGGAAGGAAGCATAATGAGGCATTGCATGTCTCAGTGGAATGTAGGGGCATAGCTCTGGCTCATGTTTTGGTGGACACAGGCTCATCTTTGAATGTATTACCAAAAAAAGCTCTTGATAGACTTGACTGCGAGGGACTGACATTAAAGCCAAGCAACATAGTAGTAAGGGATTTTGACAGCTCGAAAAGGATGGTACACGGGGAAGTGGATATCCCCATAAAGGTTGGAACCCAAACTTTCAATTCAACCTTTTATGTAATGGGCATCCGCCCTTCATACTCCTGCTTGCTAGGTCGGCCATGGATCCACAATGCTGGCGCTATTACCTCTACATTACACCAGATGCTGAAGTATCCAGTTCAAGGGAAGATTATCACCGTCCATGGAGAGGAAGAATACATGATCAGCCATCTCAATTCCTTCAGATATGTGGAATTGGACGGTGAATTCATTGAAACTCCATTTTAACACTTTGAAGAGGTCCCCCAAGATATGGCAGTGACCAAGGTTGTGTCTCAGATACCCAATATTACAAGGCCTCCACTCCGGATGTCATCTCTGAAGGATTCCAAAGCAGTGGTAGAGGAAGGTGGATGCACTATTTGGGGGCAACTCCCAGATATCCCATATAAGTCTGACAAGTTTGGCCTAGGTTTCACTTCAAGTGCTCAAAAGGATGTATGTCGTGCCCGTGCTGGAGGACCACCCTTGAAGATCAGTAACCGTGAAGTCAACGCGGTAGAAGATGGTGAAGATGGCTGCAACCTGGAGGATTGGATCTTCCCGACTGTCAATGGAGGGCTCAATAATTGGGAGGCTAGAGACTTTGTCCCGATCACTTTTATCCCACAGTAATTTGTCTTTACATTTTGTTAGATATGTAATATTGAAACAATTCACACTCTTAAAACCTCGTGTCTTACCCAAGGCACAATGGTCCATTTGTAAGGGTTATTATCTCATTTTCATATGACATCAAGGAATCATGGACGTTTTCGCATACAAACTTTTATGCTCATTGTCTTTCTTTTACATTTTATTTTCTTTCAAAGATAGTTATACCCTTACACACACCCACACTCACAATGCAGATATACATCCATTCGAGATCCCATGGGTAACGATACTGCTATGGCCTTTTGTGACTCCAAGAATCTAATCTACCAAGCCGAAGACGAAGGTGAGGAAGATTGTGAAGTACCAGTGGAACTGTCCAGACTGCTACAACAAGAAGAGAGAACCATTCAACCTCACAAGGAACCCGTGGATACAATCAACCTAGGTACCGAAGAAGACAAAAAAAAGGTCAAGGTGGATGCCAATCGGGAACTCGGTATCAAGGAGCGTCTGATTCAATTGTTACACGATTATGTTGAAGTGTTTGCCTGGTTGTATGAAGACATGTCGGGACTTGATGCAGACATTGTGGTACATCGTCTGCCTACAAGAGAGGATTATCCGCCAGTAAAGCAAAAGGTTCGCCGCATGAGGCCTGATATGTCAGAAAATATTAAAGTAGAGGTCATGAAGCAATTCAACGCTGGATTCTTGGCTGTCACCTCTTACCCTCAATGGGTTGCCAACATTGTTCCCGTACCCAAAAAAGACGGCAAAGTACGAATGTGTATGGACTACAGAGTTTTGAATAGGGCGATCCCTAAGGATGATTTTCCACTTCCCCACATTGATATCCTAGTTGACAATACGATACAACACAAAGTGTTTTCCTTCATGGAAGGATTCTCAGGTTACAACCAAATCAAAATGGCGCCTGAGGACATGGAGAAAACAACATTTGTCACACAATGGGACACATTCTGCTACAAGGTGATGCCATTCGGACTAAAGAATGTTGGGGCAACCTATCAACGTGCCATGGTAGCTTTATTTCATGACATGATACATCATGAAATAGAGGTCTACGTAGACGATATGATAGCCAGATCGCAAACAGAAGAAGAGCATCTTGATCACTTACAAAAGCTGTTTGAGAGACTGAAGAAGTACAAGTTGAGGTTGAATCCAAACAAATGCATATTTGGAGTACGATCTAGTAAACTCTTAGGGTTTGTCGTCAGTAACAAAGGTATCGAGGTCGATCCTGCCAAAGTTAAAGCAATACAAGAGATGCCTGCTCCTCATACTGAGAAGGAAGTTAGAGGATTCTTGGGACGTCTGAACTATATTGCCAGATTCATTTCCCATCTGACAACTACTTGTGAGCCAATCTTCAAACTATTGAAGAAAGATAAAGTAGTCAAATGGAATGAAGAGTTCCAAGTTGCTTTTGACAAAATCAAAGAATACTTACAAGAGCCTCATGTGTTGATGCCACCAGTCGAGGGAAGACCATTGATCATGTATCTGATTGTTTTAGAAAACTCAATGGGGTGTGTATTGGGGCAACATAACGAGTCTGGCCGAAAAGAGCATGCTATTTACTACCTGAGCAAGAGTTTACCGACTGTGAAACCAGATATTCACTGCTCGAGAAAACTTGTTGCGATCTGGCATGGGTTGCTCGCCGGCTAAGACAGTATATACTGACTCATACTACCTTGTTGATATCTAAAATGGATCCGATAAAATACATCTTCGAGAAGCCTGCTCTTTCTGGGAGAATAGCGAGATGGCAGATGATCCTAACAGAGTACGACATACAGTATACTACCCAGAAAGCTATAAAGGGCAATGTACTAGCTGATCACCTCGTTCACCAAGCCGTGGAAGACTACCAGTCCATGAAGTTCGAATTCCCAGATGAAGACATCATGACATTAGACAACTGTGAAGAATTCAGGCCATATGACGGACCTGAACAAGGATCCCGATGGACCCTATTCTTTGATGGAGCCTCCAATGCACTCGGAAATGGTATTGATGTTGTACTCATATCTCCAGAAGGGTGTCATACTCCCTTTATTGCCAGACTTTGCTTCAATTGTACAAACAACATGGTGGAATACGAAGCGTGCATCTTCGGTCTCAAAGCTGCTCTAAACTTAGGGATCAAATCCTTGGATGCATTTGGAGACTCAACTTTGGTTATCAGCCAGATCAAAGGGGAATGGGACACCAAACACCCAAACCTTATCCCTTACAAAGAACATGTTTTGACGTTGCTACCACATTTTGAGAAGATTACCTTCGAGCATTTCCCGCGAGAAGAAAATCAGCTAGCAGACGCTCTAGCCACAATGTCATCTATGTTTTAACTTAATTGGGATAACAAAGTGTTGTAACTGGTTTTTAGATAGAGTCGCCACCCTTAATTTTTATCCTAATGGAAGGGAGTATAAAGGAATAACCCTAAAGTTCAGAGATTCTAGATTTGGACTCGGTTCTAGACGAGGGGAAGGTGTTAGGCACCCCTTGTCTACCTTGTTCACAAGGATACTAGGTTTAGAGGTATGTTTTTAGGAAATAGGGTTTTAATTATTTATTTGGGAAAAGGGTTTGAATTTTAGTTAGCGAGACTCGCAACGATTTTTTTTGATCGTATGCCTACGTATCCTCCTTAGGAGGAATCAGAGTCTCATTTTCGTAGTTCGCGGTGTTGATTGGTGTTTTTTATAAGATTGCGTAGATTACTTTAATTTCCCCCGCACTTAGTTCGAATGTGTAGATAACGGAGATTTTGAACTAAGCGCGAAGTTAATTAAAAACTCTTTGTATTCCTTTTTGAAAATTGATTGTTTGATTCAATTTATTATAAAAATAGTTTTCCGTTTGTTTGCGTATTTTTTAAACGTATAATCGAGGAGTCTGATATAGTCCCCTTATCACGTGGCTAGATATTGGCCACGTGTCGCTTGTGGATATCGTGATTTAATGAATCGCAAGTTTTAATATTTTGATATAAAATATTAAATTAATTATTTAATTTTGGATAATAAATCGATGGACGATATGTCGATGAATTTAATTACTCAAAGGTAGATATCCTATCACTTGTGAAAATGTTGAATTAATTTGATTTTAAAAAATTAATTATATACGAATTATCGATGAATTATGATATTAAGACTAGTTTAATTAGATAAAAAGATTCTAACGATTATGTATTAATAATCTGATTAACCCAGTTATATATTTAAGCTAATTAATCACATTAACTAAAATAAATTAATTACTTAAAATAGTTAATTGTCTAACATGAAAAGAAATTAACTAAAATAAATTAATTACTTAAAATAGTTAATTATCTAAAATGAAAAGAAATTAACTAGAACAAAACCTAAGGAGATGTTAATAGAATTGGGGTGTATTGAAATGAAGATGGCCCAAAAGTCAATTATTCATATTTAAAATTCTAATTCTAAATATTAATAAAATAGAAAATAGTATAAAAAAATTAAAAGAAGGAACAAAATAATGAAAAGACATCATATGGGGCGCTTTCTCATTTCTTCACGTTAGTATTAGCAGGAAATTGATTACATTGTTTTTTCTTTAAGCTAATAATGTATAAACTAATAAAAATAAAAACAAGTGAGAAAATAGAAAGAACATGGAAAAGAGAAAGATGAGTCTAGGTTCCTATCAGTAAAAATTTCTTCCCCAAACTTATCTTGTAAAACCAGTTCAATGAAGGGCCGAAACGTGGCATATGAAAATAAAAGAACAAATAAAATCATGATACATACATGTACGTCTGGAGAGAGAATGAAAAGTCTAACAAAACAGTGGATCTCTCTTCATCCACATATTAACAACAACCCAAATTATATCCTTTTCTTTACTCTCTTCCTTCTTATTTTAAATTCATCCCTTTTATTCTCAAACCAAAGCATCATATAAGATCAAAAGGAGCTACAAAAACAAACTTACCTGAACCGGGCAAACATTGGTGATGGTGGTGATGTGAGTCGGATGACAATAGAAAGGGAAGAGGTGCGATGAAGGCGGTGATGTGGAACTGGGCGGTGGTTGTTCGTGGTTGGAATACAGGGCATGCAACGGTTGTTGGCATGAAGGAGATCTTGGCGCGTCGGCCGTGCGAGGTCTAGAGTCCTATTTGTTTTGATTTCTTTTTTGTTTACAAATGCTTCTATTGTGTTTCCCCTCCCCTCTGTGTTCTGCAACTCTCTTTTTATAGCTTTTTCTGAATCAGCTCCATTAGGCAAGAAATAAAGTTGCCTGCAATTTGTATTAGACAATTTTAATTCGTAATAATCTGCATTGATTTGTTTCTTGATTTTGTGTTGGCAACAATTCTGAAAAAGGAATGAATACTAATGTTTAAATTTTACATCGAGCATTTTTTTCAAATCTATACAGTGCATGCTTTTTTTTTCAGGTTAGGGCCAAACTTTGTTATTTGGATTAGACAGGTTTAGACTTGGAGTTTGAATAATGAAAAGGAAGACCTTTTTTATAAACACTCCTCTTTTAAATATTATAAACAAGAATCAATTTTAATTATAACTAAATTTAAAATTAGAAATAGTATAATTTAATAATAGGAATTATTATAAAAATAATAGTAATAAAAATGTTAAAACTAATATTATAACAAACAATTCTTCAAAACAAAACCGGAAACTTGTAATGGGCTAATGTTTCTTAAATATTGGGCTTAAAACAAAATAAAATATTTTATACACCAATTAATCTAAATGGGCCTTATGAAATAAATACACTTCCCTCAATTTTTAATGGACTTTTATTAGAGTTTAATGGGCCATCAGATATTGATGGTTCATTGGATCAATACACCCCCTCTCATATGTTTTACACCACCGTAGAAACAAAAATTACACAATGTGATTTTTTAAAAGTAAACCTAAATAATCTATAAGGGTAGGGCAAATTTGGGGTATGACACAAGGCTCTCCAGATCACAATTGAACGAATGGACGAACCAACACATTGTCACGAAATTAATACTGAAGAAGTAGTGGACCAACCTTGGTTTCACGAAGTTAAGAAGTATCTCGAGGCTAAAGAATATCCAGAAGGAGCTTCAGTCAATGACAAAAAGTTCTTAAGGAGATTCTCTTTTAAGTTCTTCCTTAGTAACGACATCCTGTATAAACGCAATCATGACTCTGTTACTTCAGTGCGTAGATAAGGTTGAAGCTGAAAGGATCATGGCTGAATTGCATGAAGGCACCTTTGGCACCCACTCTAGTGGGCATACGATGACAAAGAAAATCCTACGGGCAGGCTATTACTAGTCTACCATGGAAGCAGATTGCTATCAACACTCTCAAACCTGCCATAAGTGTCAGATTTATGCTGACAAGGTGCACGTACCTCCGGTTCCTCTGAATGTCTTGACGGATCCTTGGCCCTTTGCTATATGGGGAATTGATATGATTGGGGAAATCAAGCCGACAACCTCCAATGGACACCGCTTCATCCTAGTGGCCATTGACTATTTTACAAAATGGGTGGAGGCAACTTCCTTCGCTTCTGTTACCAAGAATGTTGTTGCCCGTTTCATCAAGAAAAACCTTATTTTCCGGTACGATATCCCGGAAAGGATCATCACTGACAATGGTATAAATCTCAAAAACACTATGATCACCGCCTTGTGCGAGCAATTCAAGATTCAGAATCACAATTCTTCTCCCTATCGGCCAAAGATGAATGGTGTTGTCGAAGCTGCAAATAAAAACATTAAAAAGATCATACAGAAAATGACAGTCACATATAAAGACTGGCATGAGATGCTACTATTCGCTCTCCATGGGTATCGTACCATAGCTCGCACATCAACCGTGGCAACACCTTATTCTCTGGTTTACGGCCGGGAGGCTGTCTTGCCTATTGAGGTTCAGATCCCCTCTCTGAGGATTATAAAGGATGCAGGGTTGAACAAAGACGATTGGATCCAGAATCGACTTGATCAACTGAACTTGATCGATGAGAAGAGACTTGATGCTGTTTTCCATGGTCAAATGTATCAAAAACGGATGATCAAGGCCTTCAACAAAAAGGTCAGACACCAAGTGTATCAAGTTGTAGATCTAGTGATCAAACACATCATCTTACCCCAAGGTGACCCCAGGGGAAAATGGACTCCTACCTATGAAGGACCATTTGTAATCAAAAACATTTTCTCTGGTGGGGCAATGATCTTGACCACTATGGATGGTGACGACCTGCCACATCTTGCAAACACGGACATAGTCAAAAGATACTACACATAAGAGACCCGCTAGGTTGACATACCTAGACAAAACAAGGGCATCCCGGCGAATCAAAAAGGTTCGGGCAAAAATTAGGGATAAAACAAAATCTGTACACCCGGAAAGTTGAAAACCCGAAAGGGGGACTTGGGCAAAAAAGGGTTTCCCGGTGGACTGAAAACCTAAAAAGGCGGTCCAGGAAAAAGTTAGAGAGTTAAAGCGTATGACTATGTCCCGTTGGATCACTTTGAGGACAACCTTTGGTTTCAACTAACAAACTCAGCGGTTCTGATCAATATAATCAGCTTCGGACAATGCAACAAACAGACAAGATGCTCAGAGATACGAAAGCTATAGTAGAATGGGAACCCCACTGGATTTTTTACACATAGCTATCTTTTCTTTGTATCAAATTTTTCTTTTTTACGACAACATTCTCTTACTAGAATGTTTGTCTCCTTGTACAAAAATACTTATTCAAAGTCAATACAAGATATCCCTTTGAAAGTGCAAAAACTATTTGTCTTTTCTTTATGCTTGTGTTTTGTTTACAAAAATGTCCAGTGATTCATTTTTGAACATATGCATTTGAACATAATTACTATTTACAAATAAAAAAAATGAAAAGAGGCAATTATTGATAGGTTGAAGGGATAAGGAAATACCTCTAGGCTATTCCATAAGTAATCCTCTGCAGTATGTTGTTTAAATCCCCAGCGGAACAAAGTTTCAAATTATTGATCCCCAGTAGAAGTCATCAAATTTCTCAGGATTCCCCAATAGGATTTTACAAGTAGTACATGGCATTTCCATTACAACAAAGTTTATTTCTCTCTACAGAAATTCATCAATACTTCGACTTCAAGACATGAAGACTTACATATCCTCAGCAGCAGTCATGGAATTATTTTCCCCAATCCAACAACAATGCAGCAAATTAGCTCACATACGCATACATTGCATCCATATATCATAAACATTGATAAAGCAAATGCATTACATCATACATTTCATGCAACATGACTTTGCATTTTAGCTAACATTTTACCCTTTTCAGGATAAGATCAACAGCTACCATTAACAATGTTCAAAACTTGATACAATTCTGATACGCTCCAGACACGGACGCCATTCTGATACTCATTCAGATTCAACCTTTTGATACAGTTCAGATACGCTCCAGACACGGATGCCATTCTGATACTCATTCAGATTTCAACTTTTGATACAGTTCAGATACGCTCCAGAAACAGACGCCATTCTGATACTCATTCAGATTCAACATTTTGATACAGTTCAGATACGCTCCAGACACGGATGCCATTCTGATATTCATTCAGATTTCAACTTTTGATACAATTCAGTTATACTCCAGACACAGATGCCATTCTAATACTCATTCAAATTTCAACTTTTGATACAGTTCAGATACGCTATAGACACGGACGCCATTCTGATACTCATTCAAATTCAACTTTCAAATACAGTTCAGATACGCTCCAATCACGGATGCCATTCTGATACTCATTCAGACTCAACTTTCAGATACAGTTCAGATACGCTCCAGATACATATGCTATTCTAATACTCATTCTTTTAGCTTACAAATTACAATTCAGCAATCATTACTATATGGCATCTACAAGCCCATCTCCAACAACTTTTTATCACCTATCCAAATGGCATCTTTAAGCCCATTTCCTCTACCATTACATCGTCGAGTGCAAATTTCTGGGCACTCTAGTGTCCAATCATCTTCCACCTTCAAAGTCACGAATGGCAAAACATGCCAATCTAACTCTTCAGGCTTAAGAAGAATAAACAGGGGCAGCTGTTGTACCCTAAAATTTGCCCTCTCACTTATCAAGAATTCACTCACAAGATCTCCTTGACTCAAGACTGCACTAGGGTTTGATCAACTTAAGACACCTTCTTGAGCACTGGTGACTGAAATTAGGGTTTGAGTTTGCACAAGGATTTTTGAACATCCAATACCTCATATGACTTTCATGGATCATCATGGGCCCTCAAGATTACTCAAGTGCATGCTAGGTTTGGGAATATGGTTTAAAATTTCTTTTTGGTCTTTAAGTTACAAGGTTGCAATGTTTACATGGGCAATTCTATTACTCATCATGCAAGTTTCTTTGGATATCATTTCTATTTTTTTTAAAGATGAGGCTTTGAGATGAAAGGTGAGGCTTTGAGATGAAAAATCAAAAGGATTCAAAGCATTTTGTTTTTGAGATATGGAAGAAAGATGAGAATGGTCTTCAAGCACCATTTCTTTTTTTAGATAAATCAATTAGTTCTTATCTTAAGTTCTAATACACTTTTTTAAAAATTCATCATTTTGTTCCAAGCTTTAATAGTTGCAATTTTAAAAGCCCATGTCATTCTTCATTTCCAATTTCTTTCATTTAGAACCAACAACTTTTGCAATTTTGTGTTATCATTCTCAAAATTAAAATTATACATTCCTAGAAATTAGTTTGTTTATTACAAGATTCAAAATCAAACAAAGAAAGAAGTCCAATATATTTTTTCCCTATGTTTCTATTACAAGGCAAAATACAAAGTTTTCATGTTCCTAGCCTTCAAGTGTTTTCAAGTCTTGCCACAATCTTCTTGCCATCTTCCTCTATTCTTCATTACCTTTTCCTGAAACAAAACAGAAAAAATCAGTTGTCATCATATTCTCACCAAACAAGAGAAGCTTCATGTTGTTTCATTTCAAAACCAGAGTTCACAAATCAGATCATAGGCCTAGGGGGTTTCACTGCAAATTCCAAACAAAAGGTTTTGTTCACAGCAAAAAAGCAAGAAAGAAAAAGTTTTGGCAAAACTTTCACTACAGCCTCAAACAAACATTATCCTATCACTGGCCTAAAAATATCTTTTTCAAATCACAATCAAAACTTGGTTCACAAAAGACAAAAGACAAATCAGAAAAAGAAGCCTCATATTTATTGGTCTCAATCAAAAAATCAGAACTACAATAGTAAAGTCATAGGCTAACT